GTGCTTTAGTATATAACCACACACAGTAGATTAGGACATGCTGGCACTAAATGCAATATTATTACAGTGGTCTTTTTTCCCCCCATCTGTTTGACTTTTGTACTTTTAAAAGGCTGATGAAATGCAAATAAGTTAAAATGAGGAAACCCAGAGAGTCAGGCAAGGAATTGATTTCTGAATAGATGCTACTTAGGATGCTCTTTTTAATTCCCAAGGCCCAAGTCTGTACACAATGGTAATGTGATAAATGGAAGCACTGAATGTTTACAAGCTAACAATTAGGCCTCATAAGCACCAAATACCATTTTAATTCTGTGCATTGAACCTTAGCTAAATACATTTCCAATTGGGAATGGATGGCAACCGCTTCCTTTGCTGGCCTAATAATTGTCACTGTGATTGTAAATGCCGAGGCTCTGCAGCAGGTTTGAATGGGAGGCAGCAGCTGCGTTAGCAGGTGATGAATTCATTGCTCACAGTGGCTGCTGTGCACATTCCCGTGGTTCAGTATTTCCTTAATTCTGCAGCTTTCGGAGCATTTGGAGCACACAGAAGTCTTAGCTTATGATGAAAACTAGCCCACCTCTAAATCCTTAGGCTATGGAAAGAGGCCTAGGCGGCTTAGCTGCGAAATGAGTTGACGAGGAGAGATTTATCTTACTGCAAATACCCGGGCGCACCTGCAGCTACGTAAGAACCAGTCGCTTGCCCTCCTCTCCAAGTGGAGGATTTGTCATCTAAGTGCCTTTGTGGGGCTGAAAGCAGGGTGGAAGGAACCAACGCGCATGTCGATGGTTTAATTTGTCGAGAACATCATCTGTACCATACGAAAGGTGGAGGCCTTCGAGCTGTCAGGTCCTGGGAGACAGTGGGGAGGTGATAGATGACATCATGTATGTGCTGTATGCTCTAATTCAAGGTAAAAAGGACAAACTCTGCTGTCCTCAGTAAAATAAAATAAAATAAAATAAAATAAAATAAAATAAAATAAAATAAAATAAAATAAAATAAAATAAAATAAAATAAAATAAAATAAAATAAAATAAAATAAAATAAAATACAATACAATACAATACAATACAATACAATAAAATAAAATAAAATAAAATAAAATAAAATAAAATAACATAACATAACATAACATAAAATAACATAAAATAACATAAAATAACATAAAATAACATAAAATAAAATAAAGTCTGCAAAAAGGAAAGCACCATGTGTGGCTGTGCTAGCTACTTTCCTGCACCTCCCATTGCATTGCCACCCCAGCACTAAAAGGAGTTCTTATCTGGATGTGAGTGTTTTACACTCCATCTGCCGCTAATTAAAAAATAATAATTAAGTTGTTAGCAGTCTAGTTGTGCTACTTCCTCACATTCCGTCACCCCCAAAGCGAGCGCTTGGAGAGCCCCTGCCTCGCTCCTCGGCAGAGGTGTCGCAGCCCCGGCAAATACGGAAAACACAGACGGTCCAGAGGCTCATTTAGTGGCCAAGGAGGTGCCAAAACTGTCGCGTACAAGTGCAGACATCTCAAACTGATCCCTGCACAGCATTCCAGACTGTTCTGGCCCCAAACAAGCCTTGCTTCTTGGGACCCTACATCCCCAACTGCAGCCTTTGCTCGTGGTGAAATTCTCCCTCACAGTGTGAGTGAATCTGTAAAAATGTAACTGTTTCAGTTAGTTTTTTTTTTTTTGTTCTCAGCCTGACTTGAAAAGGAAAATGTATGCAGACATTTCTAGGCACTGTCATGCACTTCCTTGGTCTTTTTGTGCTGTTCTAAGCCAGCTTACACTGGCAGAGGTTACTGGTGTGTTTGCCTGCTATCCTGCAGGATAGGAGGCAGAGGATGGAGGAGCAGAAAATGAGCATCTGGTCTTCTTGAGAACATGAGGGACTATAAAATTATGTTACCAGGCTATCACCGGATCCCCTCAATACCATGGTTATCCTGCTATCATGGAGGAGCAGAAAATCAGCATTTGGTCTTCTTGAGAACATGAGGGACTATAAAGTTATGTTACCAGGCTATCACCGGATCCCCTCAATACCATGGGAGCTGGGTAGATCCAAGAGGCTCCTTTTTTCTCTGATCCATGGACCTGACTCTTTGTACTCGCATTCCTACTACACCAAAGTCACCTCCTGGACTTCACCTTATCAAGATTTGTGCCATTATTTAGAAGCTCAGTCATCATCAGTATTTCTCTCTTTTCTCACAGTAATCTATAGAGCTTCTCTACTTTTATATAAATATCTGTATAGCAGAGGCCTTCACTTAAAGTTGCTAATACCACCAAGTCAGAGGTGTTAAATTCAACTCCTATCTTCCATAAAGTTTTGAGCGTTTGTGATCTGATTCTACCCTTACAGTTCCCTGTGCTTTATATATCTGACTGTTGATGTCACCATAGAAAGAATTTATGTTATATAACACACCTTTAGGGATAACAATGTTCTCTCAGTTTAGAGGAAAGACTAAATCATCCTGTCCCTTGTGTCCTGTCTCGGCAGATGGGATAAAAGTATCTCCTATGATGTTTTTAATTTGAGACTCACATATTTTGGAAGATGTGTAGACGCCTGTGCAGAAAGTACAATCAAAATGTTTCCTGTCTCAATGCAGAGCAGCCACGTGCACTGAGCAAAACACTCAGCAAAGCACTGAGAGCACTGTAGTTCTGTCTCTTGCAAGAAGATCCAATGTAGATCCAAACTGTGTGTTTATAGCCACTTGGAAAAGGTCTAACTGGTCTCTGCCAAGCTCCTGCAATGTGGTCCTGAGTTTATTCTTTTTTTTTTTTTTTTCCTTCTTTTTCACTTCACAAGTAGCTGATTAATCACCAAGATCTTGAAGGGAAAGGGCAAGTCCTCAATCCTCCTTGCATGGATAATTCCATGGCTGATAGGCTGACACTGTGGTGGGCCAAATGCTTTCTTCTACCTCTCCTCAGCCTCTGCCCAGTGGGCAAGAAGAGCCTCTCATGACTATCTATCTCAAAATGCAAAGACTGGTGGGACTTCTAACAAGCTCATCTGTTCAATCATTCTATACTTAATATTGAACTTGGGCATAGATCATCTTTTTAACCAACCCATCCTCACAGTAATTCACTATCAGTCTATTGTCAAAAAGGAGGTAGCAGCAGAGTGTACAAATCTGACGAAAAGAGAATAGAATAGTCAAGTCTGGTTTTAGGTATAGCGTAAAGCCAGCTCAGTGGCTTCTCCTACATCTCTCTTGGGTTGCAAATCTGGAGCACTTTTCCTAGTTTTTTTCCTGTTGTCGTTGCTAGAGAGCATAGGATCTATTCTCAGTTCAGAGCAATCTTGAAAACAAATCAGCTGCATCCAAACCCTCTTCTTCTCAATTATTCCTAAAAGCATCCAGCAATGGTGTTTCCAGTGCTCCATCTGATAACCTATTCCTCTGCTTAAGCAACTTTGGATTTGGAAAATGTTTTCCAATCCTAGGGAAAAAAAAGGACTATTATTGCTTCAAATTAGCTGATTTTGTCACCTCTTATAGTCCTCTTTAGAACAATTGTTGTCATGGTGGCCTGTTCTCTCTTCTTTGTTTCCTTTCTTCTAAAGCATCTTTCAGTGTTCTATTCTTGCCTCTTAGGTCATGTTTTTAAGTTCCTTATCCTTAACATATCATTTATATTCCTTCATCATTCTGAAGAATGGTGCCCTTAGCTAGACACTGTGCTCCATTAAAGACTCACCGGTGAGTATTGCAGGGAAATGAGTCCTCTGCTCATCCACCATTAAGCTTTGCCCCAAATGACATGTTTCTTTGTTATTTCTTGTCACCAGAACTTGAAAAAGTTAAACATTTATCGCTGGTGATTTTTGATGGTAGAAGGATTCTTTTTACTGTTTCTTTCTGAGTACTTATATAACCTTTCCTTGAGGGCCCATCTTCTGGAAAACCCAACAGCTCTTTGGAGATAAGTCCGAGTATGGTTTCCCATGTTGGTCTACACTAGGGAATACTCCTCCTGGAAAGCCTGTCCTCACTTCTGAAGTATTCTCTTGGCAGCCCTCTGCTTTTAGCTCAGTGTGTGTCCTAAGGGTACCTCTTTTGCAATACTGCAGGTGGGAGGTGGTGTTGTGTATCTATGTGCCTTGCTTTATTTCTCCTAATCCTGAGAGAATTTCAGCATGAGTACTCACTTCTAGTCTACTCAGGAGACCTCTAGGCACAGGTGTTTGCTTCTCCTTTTTATTGAAAAAATAACTGTCCCTCCCCGTTCATTAAGTACTGTGTGACCTGCATATGTACAGTTTGTTTCATCTGGGTCCTAGCAGACAGGTGTCCATATCAGAGAAACCATCCCAGATGCCACTTAGTTGACCCTCATTGGAAAAGCCAAGGACTCAGTAGGGGTGAAGGGTGATTTTTTTACACACTTAAATGGCCCTTGGATCAGTAGAAAGGAGATACTGAGGTCCCACTTGTGGTCTACTCCTTATTCACAATGAACAGCTCTCTACAGGAGGTAGCAGATCCTTTCCTTGACCTTAACATTTGCTTTTAAAAATAAAACAAAACAAACAGAAAAAAACTTGCTAAAGAGCTCAGGACGCAACCTGCCGAAACAGTTGCTGGCTCTCAGAAACGCAATGTTCTGCTAGACAAGATGTTCAGGGAGGAACCTTTCCATAAGTCACAATAAACAGGAAATAAAGTTACTCTGTTGTAAAAGAAGCGCAACACAGGTGATAAGTATCAGAAAGACATTGTTGTTAAAATACAGGCTAACATTTATTTAGTCATTTTTTGTTGTTCAAATGGTTTCCTTCTATGAGAAGAGCAGCTAAACCCTGCTTTTCTCATAAGCCCAAAAGGTTAAGGCAGTCCAACCTGACAGCAGGCTTTTTTTCTGGATAAGATCTAGGTGAAGAATTCCAAGACATAGTCTCTGCTTTACAGGACACTTCCAGTACTTCAGTCCTCTATTTGCACTGTTGACTTCACTCTGTCCTTTCAGATATGACAGCTTTGGCCGTCTGACCAACGTGACCTTCCCGACCGGCCAAGTGAGCAGCTTCCGCAGTGACACCGACAGCTCCGTGCATGTCCAGGTAGAAACCTCCAGCAAGGATGATGTTACCATAACGACCAACTTGTCAGCATCAGGAGCCTTCTACACCCTGCTGCAAGGTGAGCTGGACCACGGCCCCTCTCCGGGCCCAGCTGTACATGCGGAATTTTCCATCAGGAGACAGACATCATCCTGATAATCCCAGCAGCAAAAAATCACCTGCATCCTCAGTGCTCCAGAGCTCCCCGCATGCTGGTGCACATGCACGCTCACACCTGCATAGCCTCATCCCCCAGCTCAGCAGTTGTTCTGCAGCTGTTTTCTGCTTCATTCTCAGCCAGTTCCCTTGCTGAGCGGCCCTCACGCAGTACAGTCCCCCATCATCATTACCATTATTGTTATAACAAAAAGGGTTGCATAAATCTTAACTGCACTTCCAGCTGACCCTTTTGCTTCCCTCTCTTAATGGATTCCAACATAAGGAGTTACTCTCCTACTGGAATAGGCTTCCAGCTGGTTACCAGAGACCTCTGCGATTCTTTGTTCACTGGTTGTTCAAACATTGACATGCTGGCAGCATCCAGACAAATGACCATCGCTGTCCCCAAAAGGCCAGTGTTTGAACTAAAGGGGTGGTGCGAAGTGGCACAAAGGATAAAGGCAAAATGAGCAGCCAGGTGGGACTGGTGGGACTATTCTGCAGCTCTTGTAAATGAGCAGTTCTGGCAGGGAAGGTAAGGTGGGCTGAGGATTTGATTGACAAGATGAAAGAAAAGTGCTGAAACTGGAAAAGAAAGAAGAATAAGTAGGGGGAAAAACTGTTGACATACTGTCAGAGACAGAAGTTACAGTGCACACAACATACCAATCTGCATCCCCAGGTCAGAGTGTCCTTTGGGGCTGTGTGTGCCCTCACTTCTGTTCCTGGAGCCTGATGGGAGGGAAAGGACAGACAAACTCTTTGTTCTTCTCACTCCCTAACTCTCACTCGCTCTTCATCTGAGCCTGATGGCATTAGAGTGTCAAACATGACTTTGCTGTTGAGGAATAAAATGGCTCAGTGAGACCAATGTTTACTCCCACATCTCTGAGACATCCATTTCCCTTCTCCTCCCTATACCAAAGACAGGATTTCCTACAAAAAAAAGAAGTGCCTACTATTCCTGAACACTGCTTTCCTGCCTCTGGAGAGCGCAGCTGGGAGGGAATCAGCCCCTTCAAACCATGCTGAGTATTCCCGCAGTGGGAATGAATATTTTTTGCTTTACTTTTGAATGCCAAGCAGATCCAACCTACCCTGCCCCATCTCAAATTCACTCACGTTAAGATGTCTGGCAACTGCACAGACACGAGCTTGGCTTCACTGCAAGAGCCTAATTAAGCAATAGAACCCGCTGTTGGGGGCTCTTTAGTGAGATAATTGACTGTGATGTGATTTATACATCCAGAGCTGAAGGCACCATTACATAATTGTACCACGGTCAATTATCTCATTGTACTGCCCTCCAGCATAGGGCCACTGTTGCCATTAGGACATACAGTATTGCAAACAATTTGGCCGTGTTCAGAAGTATGAAATTATAGAATTATTTGGGTCTGAAAAGCATACTTATCTTAAAATGAAGATCTGGATAATGCTGTGGCAGGGGTGGCTGGAACCTGCTGAAGGTGGGTTTCTCACAAGCATTCGGAGCAGCGAATTCCCACACGGAGGCAGTTGTTTGTTCATGGCATCACTATAGCAATTGAAACGAGCACCACTGGAGTTGCCCAGGGATCAATTGAGCACAGTTGAAATGTAATTTGCCTTCTGAGTGCTTCCCCACTGGAGGAAGCTGGAGCCATTCTAAAGGTTACATGTCTTGCCCTCTTGGTCATTCTCCAGAGAAAACTCATATTGCAGATTTCCTTTACATGAGACCTGCTGGTGCAGCTTTTCATTATGAGCTCACGGTTCTGGCTAGCTTTCCCAAATCCTTCGTGAACCTTTCAAGAAACCTGGATCACACTGTGAACAAACTCTGGCTGCAGTCAGTGTGAGGGAGGTGTTTTATGGCTCTACACAGAGACCAGAAACAGATCTGGAAAAAAAGGTATTTAAATGCCTAAATCCTGTTGGTTTTGGTAGGAGTTAGAGCTTTAGACACTCAAACATTTAGCTGTAGTCTTCTGAGAACAACTCTCATCCACAGATACCCTGTCTCCTACTGTCCTGAGGTAAGCAACTCCCTATACAGCAGATAGGATGCTCTGCAGGATGCTTTAGGGCATCTCCCAGCCCTAAAACCCTCAGGCCAGAATTAAGCACTGCACAGGTTTTGAAAATCCTCCTCTCTTATCTGAGGTGGGTGTTAGGGCTGTCAAGACATGCACCCTTGTAAATACATACACTTTCTATTCCATCAGGACTTAGGGATGCTCAGGAAATGCCTTCAAAAGAAAGAGATGACACCTCAAGGTGCCACCTAAGCAGGAGCTCTGAGCACCACATTAGCAGCGAGACACAGCTTAAGCAGGACATCAAAAAGTCACTTTAAAGAAGACATTTCTAGGAGGTTGCTCATTCCTCTAGATTGGATTTAGGAGTCTGCAGAGTTAACAGGCATCTCAGTACCTCAGCATCTCAGAGCTCACAGTGTCTGTGGGCTTGGCCCTGCTGAAGCCTATGGCACAAGACCTTTGACTTAAGTAGTCAGTGGCATAGTCAAAGTATATTTGATCTACATTATGGATCACTGTATATTTGCAGTGGTAAGATCCAATGTCATAGCTGTAATCCTTTCACACCATCACTAGGTTAACTGTATAAAGTAAACTGAACCTGGTCTTCCTAACATCAATGTGACAACACTCCTGTTAGCTACAAAGAGAGCAAGATTAGACTCAAAAAAGAGAGACCGAGTAGTATCAGATTTTTCCCAGTCATTCCAACCTGTGCTCTTTGCTGATCTATTTCAGCCAGATGAAAGATGATAATTTTTCTTTGACCTCATTTCC